GGGGGGGGGGGGGGGGGGCGACAGACTCTTTCGCCGGACTTTCACCGACTTGTCAGGCAGCTAAACCCTTGACAATTTGCAGAGTCCCACCTTAGCCCTAGTTGCAGCCGAGAGAAGGACACCAATCACCGCACAGCCCCCTAGGGTACCTGTGACAAAAAGCAAATCAGACTTCTAGTCTTTTGCCCACCCACAGACAGAAGCAGACTGTAAGTTCGCATCTCATCATAAATCCGCCACGAAAAGAAAGGCAGGCCTGCCACAGGCCTGCCACAAGAAGCTTCAGACAGGCCAAGTGAGAATACGGAGTTGAGTCAGTGGGCAAAACCTCAGGCCTGGAGCCGCCACCCTCATGCCAAATGGACTCGCGTTGACCATGTCAAGTCAAACGGAAACTGAGAGTGACATTGTGGCCAGTGCGGCCAGGTCAGACTGGATTTGGCAGCGTTAGGTCAAGTGGAACTAGAGTTGACGACGTCAGTCGACAACCTCAGGCCAAGTGAGGGACCCGAGTGGGCAAACCTTGGGCCCACTCGGGTCCCTCACTTGTCCTGAGGGGCCCGAGTGAGGGACACGAGTGAGCCCACGGGATCGGAGTTAACAACCTTTGGCCAGGTGGAGCTGGAGTTGAGAACGTCGAGGAAATGAGACTGCCGATGACAACTGGACGTCACTCCATCCTTCCACTGCGAGACTGCACCTGACGAGTCCACGCCGGCGGTACCTGCCTGCCAGGCCGACTGGGATTGAAGTTTTCGACCTGAGGCGAAGCGGGTTTCGGGTTGACTGCCTTGACCCAAGTGCAACAGGTGTTCACAACTGAAGAGCTCCCTCCCTCCCTTCTCCTGTGAGATTGAAGTGAAGCCAACAAACAGTGCAGCCATTCGGCCATGTGGAGCTGGGGATAGGAGGTCATCGAAGAAGATATGTGAGATCCGTCACATACCCGTAGTTCTGCTGAGTGGGTGGGCAGTCTCCTGTCTACGACGATTGCACTAGCTTATCCTTCATCTCTCTGGAATGAACAACTCTGGACTCCAACCAAGAAGCGACATCGGATGTGGGAAAACAAGCTGCGACATTGCAGATGGAAATAACACACAAGGAACAGGACTATGATGATACAACACTCGATAAGAAAATCCGAGCAGGAGGAGAAAAAAAGGTAAGCGACTCCCAGATGGCCCATCATCATCCCTTTGCATACAGGCTATGAACATATCCACAAGGAAACAACTGCAACCTACCGTTTTCCAGACTCTTTAGAAGGGCCGCCGGGAAAAGAAACAGAGAACCACGTGAACAATCTTGCAACGCTTCTTCATCCAAATCTTAAACCAACAGTAGTGACTCCTGAAAAATCGGGCCAGCAGCTGTGGTAGAAAGACCAGCCATGGCCGGATTGCCCATCCAGTCGAACAGCTAAAAAAGCTGAGGCCGTGGGATAAGCACGGTAGGCACAATGGTCAGGACCAGTTTAAGCGCAGGTGGAGCACACAGGTGATAGCTCGAATGGTAGCCTAGCCAGATGGACCGAATCTGCCGAAATAGACAGTGACAGCAAGCAGCTTGGCATTCAGGTAGTTCTTCTCAATCTGGATGAATAAGGACGCAAAGAAAACACAGTGCCAACATACCGAAAAGTTGAGAAAACAGATTAGCAATCTACCCCCGGCATCTGTCGTTCTCCACTGATCGTTGATCACATCACCCGCTTTTCTTTCTTATCCTTTCTTCTTTCCTTCCTTTTTTTTCCCCCCAAAAGGGTGACGGCCTTGAGACATGATCATCGAACTGACCGGCCCTAGGTAATTCAAAATCGTCGTATTTTACTCGTATGCTTCCAGTGGAGTTCGAACTCAGCACCTGGTCTGTATTACAACAGTTCAGGGTTGTACCTGGTCTGTATTACAACTGAGCTACGTAGGCCACCTGTTTCAAACACTCGAGCTTTCAGAGTTTCGACTTCCACAATCATGACAATTCATTTCTCTTCCCCCGACCGCCCTCAACCCCGACCACCCTCGACCCCAACCACCCTCAGCCCCTTGCCCACTCTTTCTACCCCTAACCCTTGTTCTTGCCATGGTAAGACTGGCTCTACAAAAGGAGCCCACTAGAGTCCCACAATCGCTCTGTGTTGAACTAAGTAACCGTCACTTTTGATGCCCACTCGCTGGCACTCAGCTTGTCACCATTGCACAACAAGGGCACAGTCTTTGAGTGCCCATTTTTGTGTTCACTACAACTACACTACCGATCACATGTTAAACCAGAATATAATGAATGCCAGGAGGGTCCTTCTGGATGTGTTTGGGATAATTTTCTCGCCAAACTTCCCGCCAAATACAGTTCCCAAGGACCAGACATTCTATTCAGGAAAAGGATAAGCATGCCACTGGTCCCCAATCAAGGACCACAGGTACAGCACACAGCAAACGAATGTTCACAGAACGCGGATAACTGAAGACGTCCTCAATGACTTGTTCATATCCACAGACCTGACCCTCACAGCTACCACTTTCACAAACTTGGCTTGGCCCCCAAGGCACGCAACCATTCAATGTTTTTATTAATTTTCAAATATCGGACTCCCATTGTTCACATCCTGATGAATCTGGGCCTTGAGAAAAGTTGGAGTTAAATACAACACGTCTGGTAAATGTCGATCAACAGGTCCCCCTGCCACCCCAAAAAACGGGCTTGTATACAAGCACGTGTTTTGCAGATTCGGCCCATGGCGAGCAGGCGGACGGGACGTGGGCAAAAACAGGCCCTTGTGGGCCTCACACACACACACGCACACACACCCACACACACACAGNGAGAGAGAGAGAGAGAGAGAGAGAGAGAGAGAGAGAGAGAGAGAGAGAGAGAGAGAGAGAGAGAGAGAGAGAGAGAGAGAGAGAGAGAGAATGGAGCGTTTTCTATTGGCGTGCGCCCATTGTGGTTGGAGGGGGCGACAGCGAGTAGTGTGGCAACAGAAGCTTGAGTGCGGCAGCAGCAGCGGGAGTGCGGCACTCGGCCTCTTTTTCATTCCTGTTGCTGGCCGAAGGTCCGGCGTTTCGATTCATTGCCATGGCAGTGTCGGTACGCCTCCATTTGTCCTCAGGGTGTTAGCGGTCACTTTTAGGCTCGGACGGATCTTTTCTTTGGTCCGGCTGGACTGGTGATCTAAGAGTTTGACCCTCTACCATACACTTCCATTAGGACTTTCATTCATAAAAATGTCCTATTTAGGCTATTTATCTTTTGGCTTACCATTAGCAGTAAGTAAACAAAAGAGGAAACCCCTCTAGCCTGGTCCACCCCATCAAATCAAGCACAGTATTTGTCAGCACCACCCTTCCTTCCCCCCTCCCTCCCCTAGCTGAAGAGGAGTCACCCTGACCATTATGAAATTGTCATGATCCACATATGCTGAATCTTACCTACAGTCTTCCCTCGAATACAACGTACGGTCATTGTAGCCGAATTTAGACCGAAAGATACACCAAATTCAGCTATAATGACCGTACGTTGTATTCGGGGGAAGACTGTAGGGTTCCACAGGTCAAGCTTTGCTCCATTGAGCCTCTGCAGACCGGTACAGAGAATAATCAAGCATCATCATCCATTACCTCATCCATGAGTGAGCGTAAAGCGAAGTCAACCGACAGGTTTAAAGTCAAAATTTACGGGCACAAGCTCCTGCAGAGATTGTGTTTCGTTCTTTGGCCACCCATCACTTCACAAAAGCAAAAATGCTCCGAGCATCCCGTCTTGTGCATGACGGGAAAACAAAACTGTCTTTGGTATAGAGTAGCAGCACGCTTTCTTGCCAAAGAAATCCGCAGACATGTGGAAACAGAAAGGAGAAGGGAAGGGGGCCCGGGGGAGGGAGTGGGGGGGATACAAAAAAGTCGTTAAAAAGAGAAAAAAGAAAACAGACGAGAGGCATGATGCGGCATTGAAGCAGGCACAGCACGTGGTGCAGTCTGTATTATGTGCACTTACCTCACATATCACAGGAGGCGATTGAGAACATGCAATGTCGGACAGCTGAGAGAAGTCTGCATTGCGTGGCAGAAAGAACACAAGGTGGTTGGTGATTTTACTCGCCGCCTGGAAGAGAGATGTCCTGAGCATATTTCACCCACAGACAGAAGACAAAAGCACTGTCACTCATCTGTTATGAGACAGCATCCACGCGTGCTCACTCACACTTGCAAATTCATGATGGCAAGTCAAACGGAATTTCACACTCGATCTCAAATGAAACTTCGGTCGAAGTTCAGAACTTCAGAAATCCACACAGCTCTGTCACTCGCTGTTAAAAAGATGCCGACCCCCCCCCCAAAAAAAAAAAAAAAAAAAAAAAAAAGGCCGATCAGAGTTCAACGCAAGTCTTCGTGTGATACCGACACTGCCCATAACAGGGATGCCTCCCATGTCCTCAAGGATCCGGCCAGCCACTGCACATCAGTGCGCTGAAGTGGGGGTTCCCCGTCAATCCTACTGCTCTCTTTCTCTCTCACTTACAGCATAGCACGCATACATGCACGGAACGGTATGCATACACACACTTCACACACGCTGCTATGGCCCACACACAGTATCTCCTTGCACGGCAGCTATGGCTGCCTCTCCTCCTCCTTTCCCTAGGTCAAATAGCGCTGTCCTCCTTGCCCATGAATGCCCTCCAGCTTCAATACTCCAGAACGACGGTTCAGCTTCCCCACAAGACCTTTGTTACTTGGCCTTGGGTACTGGTACCGTTCTGGCCTGGCCTGGGTTGTGCCGTGCAACCTGCTGGACGCCCTACCTCTATTGACCGCCTACGAATGGTACTAAGGGCTTCGCTATGAGTTTGTGCAGGTGCCGGCCGTGGGATGAAGGCTCAGCAAGCACAGAATGCCTAATCTCTTATAGAACAATCCCAGGTAAAGTTCCAGGCCAAAATCTCAGCATGCTCAGTCAAGGGGAAACACACAGGCACATGAGGGTCTGTGATGGAATCCCAGCGGGCAAATGAACGTGAGTCCTTTCACATCGGTCACACAGGTTATTCTGCAGGCATCAGCATTATCTGGCAGGAAGAACAGAATGTTGTTGGGGTTTTTCATTTGCTATGTGGAAGAGATCTGTGCGGAGGATGTTGCACCAACAGGCAGGGAATGCACCATCACTCGTAAGACAGATTGGTTTTCTGCAGGTTGTTCAACATGGCACCCTCAGAATGCAACGGGAGGGCCGGGAAGGGGGGCCGGGGCAGGTAGTTACTGAAGAGGTGGTTACACTCAGATGACTGACAAGGGTTTTCATTTCCTGCCAGCCATCCAACCACTCACGCTATGCCTTTGTTACCTAGGAAGATTGTCAAGCCCAGCCAGGTCAGCCCAGCTGGGCACCCGGGCGTGACGCCCGGGGGGCTCTGATGCCCAGGGGAGTCTGACGCCTGGGGTATCCTGGCATGGGGAAAAAGACAGATTTTCTTCTTTTTTTTGGGTTTTCCGCGCTTTTGGAGAGGACCCCAAATCCGACCTCATTCGTTTTATCGAGTGTTGGCTGTCAAGGAGGAGTTGGGGGGGGGGAGAGGAGGAGGGAAGGGGGGTATAAATTGGTTCTAAAGGGATTGAGGGGATCAAAGGAGGGTGCCTTAGTGTGATTCTTTTATCCTTCTTTTTATCTATGATCCAATTATGTTAGGAATTCTGATGTGACCCTCGCCTAAAAGTCGTTTGCGTTGCAATTCTACACATGTTTTTTTTCTGGGACTTTTTTTTTTTTTTTTTTTGCGCTGGGGCTACCTGGAACCCTGCCCAGGGGTCATGTCTGGATGGGCACCGGGCATGTCTCCGGGCGCGAGTTGGGTGCCCGGGCGCCCGGTGCTACTGATTAGCTAATTGTAAGGACCTGCCAAACACGGACTGAGACACACAGCTGATTTCTGAGTTTTGCCAATGGAATGTATGCCTTGCTGAGTTTCCCGCTTGTTGCTCAGTTTTCTAAGTCTGTGTATGTGTGTGCTTGCTGGTCTGCGTGCCTGTCTGAGTGCTTGCCGGTTTGAGTGTGTGTGCGACCCGCAAGGGTACTTGTCCGTGCGGGAGGCCCAAAGGGCCGGTACTTACCTTTGGCCATGACATCGAGGCTTGCAGCGGGGAAAACACTCAAGCGGCGAGGAAAGAGGCCCGCGACAGCAGCGGTAAACTCTCAAGCAGCTGGTAGGCCGGTACCACACCAAGCAGAGGTAGATATGTCGAGTACTCGATGCCTAACAGAAGAAGACAAAGTTGGCATTTTTAGAGGCCCAGTAGTCGTAGGCTAGGTCTAGGCAGTACCAGTCGAAGTAGTCTGAGTCTAGGGCCTGTACGGGCAATAACAGAGTCTGCAATGATGTTTCCCTACGAAAGGGAGGAGGTACCGGTTGCTTGGAGGCCGCACAGGCTGGAAGTCACCGCCCAAGAGGCAAGCAGGCCGCTATATCTCCTGGAGGAGCAAAGAGCTCCACCTCATTCTGTGGGTGCAAGTTTGGCGACACACCGCTGGAGTGCTGGCTGGAGCAGCGCTGGGTGAAGCAGCGCTGCTGGGGAAGAAGGAGCGGCCAGCTCCGCACCTTGGCTATTGTGAAGGAGCCCGGGCTGTAGGAGGAAGACGAGGACTAGGAAGGGGGAGCGCCAGAGGTACTTACCTGGCTTTGGTGGATGCCATCTTCATCACCTTGGTGGGCACTGCATCTGGAAGGCCCCATCGGGGTAGAGCTACATCAAGAAGCTTCGAGGCAGAGTCAGGCATGGCGGCCTGAGCAGGAGAAGCTATAGCTGCTTTGAGTTGTCTTTTGCACAGCAGGGCAAGGCCCTAGTAGTCTGCCATAGCCTCAGCCTTCACGAAAAGGAAGAAGGAGGCGGCCATGGCTATGGTGGTGGTGGTTCTTCTTCTTCTTCTTCTTCTTCTTCTTCTTCTTCTTCTTCGTGCTTTCTCATGAATTTTGTCCTTCGAAATTGGCCACGATCATAACAGATTGCATCTTTGAGCTTGGTTATGTGGTTAAGCAGTGCCTTCATGAATTGGGTTTCAAAAACCCGCTATCAATATCCATAAAAAATCTCTTCCCGTCCAAAATATCTCATATGTTCTGGTTATGCTCCTCCTACCCATACCGTCAAAGTCCTGTAACGAGAGGAAATAATCCATACGGTTTGGTTCAAAGTTTCAAACATGACGTCTCTGCGATCGGTTTCTCCACTACATCTTGACCAGAACACAAATTCCTCCTCTGTCATTCAACCTAAATCTCTTCCCGTCCAAAATATCTCATATGTTCTGGTTATGCTCCTCCTACCCATACCGTCAAAGTCCTGTAACGAGAGGAAATAATCCACTCGGTTTGGTTCAAACATGACGTCTCTGCGATCGTTTTCTCCACTACATCTTGACCAGAACACAAATTCCTCTTCTGTCATTCAACCTTACGGGGGACCTCCCAGCCGTGTCACCCAGAAATTTGGCAGTTTAGAGGTGCCGCTCCAGCCGAGTGCACCAGCCATACCTCTCGCGAACCCCTACGACAAGATAGGGTCACGCAAGGTACACCATACGCCCACATAAGGGATGGTGACAGCTCCCACGGGTGGAGGTAAATTGTACCTCGGGTCATCCTATCCTGTCGTAGGGGTTCGTGAGAGGTATTAGGTCATGAGGTACAGAGTGGGTGCAGCGGAGGTTGGACATGGTTGCTCTCTTCGTCTTTGATTCAATAGTGTTGCAAACCCAAGTTCAGAAGCTTTTACAATCCAATCACACATGAACTCAGGAGTGTCAAATAAGATGACAACAACCATGACCCAGCGGCAAGACTGTGTGAACAAGAAGAGCAAGAATATGAATTCCACATCTCTGGGGCCCTGGAATGCCCAGCCGGGCAAGGTTCAGGTCAGGTCCCGAGCAGCCCCAACGCCAAAAAAAACAACTTTTACAGAATCAGAATATCCTGGATTTTTTTCAAAACATACGTTGTCATCTATTTGTAGAATTCCAACGCAAACAACTTTTGCCCGACGGTCACCTCAGAACTCCTTATTGAATCGAAGATAACAAAGAAAAAAATAAATCAAAGTAAGGCACACCCTTTCAACTCCTTTAACGCCTTTCTTAACCATCAGTCCATTCGATCCTCAATTGACGAAGCAAGGGTTGCCTCCTTCCGAGCCTGCCTGCTACAGTAACGGGCAGAAAAGAAAGATATTGGCGTACTGGTACCAGCCTGTATCTTTTCGTGGCGCCCAAGAATGCTGTATAGGCTGTATAGGTTATATTTAGGCTTATCTGAAACTTCAGTACATGGTGATGTTGGCTATTTGAGTGAGCGAGATAGCACTGGGTTGTTGGGTAGGTCCCTGGGTTGAGAGGGATGCTGCCGAAGGCTATTGGAAAAATAGTCGCTGTATGTATGATGATGTGAGCTAGATGATGTGGCAATCAGCAACGGAGGCAGTTGCATTGTAGTGTTTGTGGTTCCAATCATCCAATGCTATTGACCAGTCAACTAACTGGACGTTGTCGCAGCTGGTGAGGAATCTGCGGTTGGGGGCAGCATTTCAGGTACGGTGTTCCTAACCTTATTGGCCTTCCTTTGTCACTTCTTTTCCGTGAGGAAGTGAGACGGCCCTTGAGAGTCCTTTCGTGGTAAGAAGTGAGAGAGCGCTGTACCTTGAGAGTCGGCATTCTTCCGGAAGCATCCTCGGAAGTGCCCTGGGAGGACAAAGCACTGGGTCGTGATGCAAGTCAGCCCACTGGGAGTAGCCACACATGATCACGCTGATGTCTTTGCCATTGCTGTGCTGTAGAAGTAGCTGTGGAGGGAGTAAGACGAGCAGGGGGGGCACGCCAGCTAGGGAGGCAGGGAGGCACACAGGGAGGTAGGCACAGAGGCAGGGAGGCAGGAAAGGGAGGCAAGCAGGGAGGCACGCGGCGAGGGAGGGAAGAAAGGACGAGAGGGAGGTGGGCAGGGGTGGGGAGGCGGGTAGGTAGGCGGGTTGGCCAGCGGGCAGGTAGGTAGGGAGGTACGCAAGGAGGGATTGAGGTGGACGGGGGGTATGCGGGCATGCAGCCAGACAGTTAGCCAACCGACCAACAGACTGACTCATACATAAATAGATAGATTAGAGAGATAGATTAGAGTGATATATTAGATTACAATATCGGCTTGATTCGCTCGCTTTGCGGAGCTGATCCGATCCGATCCGATCCGATCCGATCCGATCCGATCCGACCGATCCGATCCGACCGATCCGATCCGACCGATCCGATCCGAGCCGAGCCGAGCCGGGCGGAGCTGAGCTCAGCGGTGCTAAGCTAAGCTAAGATAGGATAAGATCAGATAAGATACAATATGCTAGGATAAGCTGGGATAAGCTAGGTAGCTAGGTAGCCAGGAAGGTAGGTAGCTAAGCTAAGCTAAGCTAAGATAAGATAAGCTAGGATATCTAGGATTAGCCACAATTCACCAAGCATTAGCCAGTGTTATCCAGGTAGCTAGCTAGGTAGGTAGCTAGATAAGTAGGTAGCTAGGCAGGCAAGCAGGCAGGCAGGTAGACAGATGCACGGACAGATGGCCGGACGGACAGACAGACAGACAGACAGACAGACAGACAGACAGACAGACAGACAGACATAGACAGACCAACCAAACAACACATATATAGAATGTTATAGATAGATAGACAGGTAAATAGATTAGATAGGTAGCTTATATTTCACTATTTTAGATTAAATATGATTAGACTTGATTATATTAAATATCTAATCTTTCTATCTATCTATCAAATCAAATGATCAAACGATCTAATATATCTATCTATCTATATCTAATCGATCGCTGGGTGGGTGGATGGAGGGAGGAAGGGATGATCCATCAATGGACAGATGGACAGAGGGATGGACCGACGGAGGGATGGACGGACCGATGGAGGGAAGGACGTACAAACAGACAGATAGACAGAAAGACAGGAAGATGGATTTCTGTGATGGATTTTGAACTTGGTACCTTTCAATAGCTGATTGTGAATACCAGTGTTTCACACTCTCCAGCAACTTCAACACTGTTGATAATACCAAGATGCTTTTTTCGGAGAGAAGTCTCCGCAAATGACATACTAGTTTCTAACTTTCTATGCATCTAAATGTTGGTCTTCCTGTTAACTCCTAGATAGATCTGGGGCCACATTTGGTGTGCAAGTGTATTATGTACGTCATTGAGAGAGACTGCTAAGCAGCCGTCCAGAGCATGAATATGGTAGAGGGCTTTTCTAAGTTTTTTAAATACTTTCCCCCATCAGGGTCATGACTACATTTGATTTGGAGGAATGTAAGGGTCTGATCCCACAATACTTACCGTAAGTAAAAAGGAGTGTTTGAAGGGATCCCACCGGTCCCCGTGTATGTAGGGAGCTCTGCCAGCGATGGACCGCTGTGGAAACGTCTGATGTCGTGTCACTTGGGGAGCACACGGCCGCGAAAAAGATTGGGGCATTTTGGAAAAGAGGTCGACCTGTACCCTCTCCCCAAAAAGAAGGCACATTTTTTGTGGGAATTTTTTTTTGTTTGTTTGGATGCCCATGTGGAGGACCTGGTTCGTCCGACGTCCTGCGCAGCGCCCAAAAAAATACGCCGCCACTTCCGTAAAAGTTCCGATGCATTTGGGACTGTGGGGTCTCTATTTTCTTTTGCGTCCCGTCCGCCCCCCCTTCCTTTTTCGTTACTTTTGCAGTTTTATTTATGGTAAGTACTGTGGGATCAGGCCCTAAGTCAAAGGGGTAATTTGCATTTCTCACATGGAGGAAACATAAGGAAGGGAAGACAACATAACAGCTGCTTCATCATGCGTAAAAGGTCGCAATCCTGAAAAGTGTAAGAGGAAACCCTGGGGGTGGCAGATAATTCACTCACAATGGCAACGGCTTCAACATTGTCTGCAAATCATATGTCTCAACTTGAGAGTATGATGGACCTCCCCACGGTGGAGACATGAACACAATATCAGCCTGCATAACCACAATGAAATCCAAACAGGTCACAGGCAAAATGATATAATATCCCATGACATACATGCCTGGTGGCTAAATGGCACACACGTCATCTGTTAATAAACAGATCATAAGTTTCAAATTTGATTGATACGATAACATTAGGTGGCGCCCCGTTAAACAAACAAAAGACAGAGTCGCCTTTCTTCCTGTATAATTCATAAGTTCATACACTAATAGTACGACAATGCGTATAAAATATTATAAAGTAATTTAAACATCACAAGAAGGGCCAGCAGCTCCGCCCGCATCAGAAAGGAGTATAGTGCATGATGCAGTTACTGCGACTGACAAGGAGAGTAGAGAGGAGTTTTAATAGTCACGAGGAAATGACAAATTTGAGAGGATTCATGTGCTGCTTCAGTACGGCCCCGGTACTGTGTCCCAGTTTCTTTTGTACCTTGGGCTTAAGTAGAACTTTTCAGTAGGAAGTGTACAGGACAAAATAGAGATTCAATAGGATAAGGATGGTAGAAACAGGTAGAAGTCCGTAGTAGACAGCAGGTAGGAAGTCGGGACGTGTCCAATTCCCATCAAGTTGCAGGTCAGGGAAGGCCACGACAGACCAAATCTCAGTCTGCCATAGGAGGGCGTGGCAGGCAGGCTCCAGAATCACGTGGGAGGCACAGGTACATGCACAAAAAGGAGGGCAGTCCCGCAGGCTCCAGAATCACGTGGGGGCACCGGTACATGCACAAAAAGGAGGCCATCCCCAGGAACCTTCGTGCAGCAGCACTGTTGTTGGCCAAGCTCCTGGATAGTGCCAGTGCCTGGCACGGGAGACAAGGGCGCCAGGCACCATAGCCGTAGTATACCACTGTAGTGAGGGAGTGAGTGGTCAGGACATTCAGAAAGTCATCGCAGACCTGAGCGTAGTAGATAGCACACACACACACACATACACATACACACACACACACACACGCACACACACACACACGCACACACACACACACACACAGAGTTGCCGATGGCAGCGGCCATAGCTGCAAGCTTGGGAACCTCTATGCATTCTTACTGTGTGAATCTTGCTGGCGTGCTCTGGATCTTGATTGCAATGTATGAATGAAGTTTGAAGTTTGAAGTTTGAGCTTTGAAGTGCAGAGTGACGTGTTGGATTCAGGAGGGTGCGTGGCATTTGCAGGCTTGTCTGGTTGGGCGCTGGAAGTGGAAGTGGCGCCATAGCTAGAGCTTGAGGAAGAGGGAGGAAGAAGAAGACTCCTGGATATTTTAATGGTTTTGAGTGCTTCCGCTGTGTAATCTTATCATCCGGTGTGGTGTGGATTGCTCCCTCCACAGGTCACTTGTCATTGCACATGTGTATGGGAACGTGTGGATGCCATGTTGGATCTCGTTTCAGTCAGGCACATAGCAAAAGTAGGACCTTTGCAATGGTATCAGAGCGGACTGTCAGTGTTCTCGACCAGGAGCAGCCAAGGTCCAGCAGTGCAGTCGAGGAGGAAGATCGTGCAATCAAATAAAAAATAAAAGAGAAAGGGGGGGCCGTCACACAGGGAAGACGCCAGTGCAGTTGCAATCAGACTCGTTTTCAAACACACTTTTCACACATGCAAACAATGACGCAGCACATCTGTTGGTCTGCCCTTTACCTTCGGCCCTTGGTGCTCACA